ACACACACACACACACACACACACACACACACACACACACACACACACACACACACACCTGTGCTCACGTGGCGTAACTGTTTTTGTGAATCTCAAAAATAAAAGTTTTATGCAAACAAAAGTTAAATTAGCGGGAGGGGAAAAAAGTCACAGTGTTAAAAATGTGATGAGTGGTGTGGAGCGTGACATCCATCTCTCTCACTCTCACACACACACACAGCACAGATGATGCTCTTCTTCCACCTAGTGGTTACCGGTGGGACTACAACTACAAGTGTGTTTTCATTACTGTACATGATCCCAACTATTCTAGAAAACGGCCCAAGCAGATGACATGTGATACCTGTTCTCTCTCTCTGTAGTATTTGCAGCTGTCTGACAAGAGTAGACCATAAAACTTTTACCCAAATTGCATAAGAACCCGTACTCCACCCACTAGCCTCCTTGAATCATGTGGTTCACAATTGTTATGGACGTTTTCTTGAAGCTGGTGAAAGGAGAACTCAGGCAGCAGAAGAGTTTAATGTAGACTTGATGCATCAAGGAGACCAGAAGGTGCAACAATATACAAACGCTAACACAGTAACATGAGAAATTGTCACCCCCGAGTCTGAAGATGTCTCCCACAGCACCCCCATATATCTTCCTCTACTTGCGTCACCCATTCCAACAGCACATCCATGAATGACTAGAATTGCTGTCGCTCTCTATGTTACATGGAGGTGTTTGATTCTGTGTCTGGGGCATCTATGTTAGATATGAAAGTCCCTAAACGTAGACACTACAATGTACTGTGTGTTGGTCCTTTATCTATAACCTGACCTTGGGTACTGCTTAGAGAGAGAAGGGAGTGAAGGGATCTGTGGAATTAGACAGGCACTATTCTCCTGTACAGACATAAGATACACTATAAATATAATATACAGTTGTATGTATATACAGTAATGTGTGAGGATGGTCAAAGACTCCTCAACAACAATGTAGCGTGCTTTTCTGTGCTCATTTGCAAGGTGTTGTTGAACATACACGTCTGTGAAACGTGTAACATAATCACGTGGATTTAGTGTGACCGCCCGAGCCGTATGTGTTTTCCCAGCTGTGGTCTCTGTTGCAGGTGGTTTGCTTGCTTACTCTACTATGCACTGGTCTCATGGTTTGATTTGCCTGACTTCTTGGTTGCGGGGAGGCTCCGCCTACTCATGATTGCTGACTCACTGCGCCTGCAAAGCCAAGTATAAAAGCCAGGCTGCATTCTTCTGATCTCCTTCTCTCCCTGGACAGCCAAGCTCCTGCTCCTTGTTTGTACTTTTTGTTCGCCACCATACAACACAAGCTACACACACGGCTTTCACCTGACATTCATACATTTGGTTATTCCTTTGATTGTACTAAAAAATGTTGCTTGGAATCAAGCTATCAGTGTGGACCTCCCTTAATTGCTGTGGCCTAAAATGAGCTGGTCATAACATTAGATAGTACAAAAACATTTTCTGCAATACACACAAGTAGACTTGATGAAATATTTTTTGAGGACTGTAAATAATACCTGGACACTTCTTGAAAATGATTGGTTCTTGCTGCCTCCAGAAGAGCATCACCTTGATGGTGCAAAAAGAAAGAGAGATACAGAAAATATTACACAAGGAGAATGTAGAATATAAGATCCAGAGTGAGTTATCGATTGGGCCACATTTATCAGTGCGTTATTGTTTGCTGATATGAAAACATTTATTTCATGGAATAAACAATGCAGACAAAACGTGCATGTTTATTTTATTAACTCAAGTTATTTCTATTTTGTTAAGTTTTCTTCTTATTTACAATTATGATCAAGTTCATGATTAAACTCTAAAGTATTAAACCTCATACAGTTCTTTTCATAGGGTTTGATAATGTCATCTTAGGAACCATTGCCAACTTGTTTAATCAATATATATAAATTGGCCAATATATTAGTTCCTGACATGTTTTACTTCCTAATATCAGCATCAGCCCTCAAATATCCTTTTCTGTCAGGCTCTGCAGAAATCATAATTACATACATATTGTTGTGCAGCAAGACAAATCAGATACCAAACTTTTTTTCATTTTCTTTGCAAAACTGAAGAGTGATCTCATAAAAGAAAGGGCTGCTGATTCTATGACTGCACACTGATTCAGTGTCTACCTTTGTCATCAGAGTCTTTCTTCAGGCAGAAGGCCACGGCTGCAGCAGACAGGACGCCGGCAGAGGCAGCTCCAGCCCGGCCGGCTCCTCCACCTTCGCCCCGGCCCTCACCTCCGCCGCTCTCCTCCCAGTAGCGGCTGTTGTTGCGCCCCCTGCTGGCCAGAGCCGCCCACGAGCTGCGGCGGTTCTCCAGGTTGGACACCCACCCAGGGGCGAGGTGGTGGTACTGCACCGCGGGTCTGACACTGGACGCGGCGGGCTCCTCGGATAAAATCCCCCTCCTGGACACGCGGGACGTGGAGACGATCGGGTTCCGGTTCGACTCCGCCGGTGTCTCGCGGATGCCCTGGCACGCGCCGCCGCTCGCGCTGGTCTGGAGCACGCGGCTGCACGGTGACAGGCTGCGCGACCTTCGCGCGATGAGCCTGGAGGGGACGGAGGATAACATGACGAGAAGCTCACCGAGAAACCAGCGGAGGTGAAGCCGTCGGTGCGGCAGTGATTCCGGGGGACAGAGGACGCTCCACAGCCGCGTCAGTTCAGGTATAAACAGCGTGAGGCCTCGGCTGACAGGCGGAGAAGAGTCACAGTCCGCAGAACCAAAACAAGCGCTTCACCTCATCCTACAATGCACAGCGAGGATGTCGCTACCGCGCGCGCTGCATTCTGGGAAATGTGGTTTTACTCAGCAGCAGCAGCTACACGGCTCGGCCACTTTGACGAGATGAGCAACATACACGTACTTCCGCGTTCGCTTGATCCAACTAGAGTGTTCTCAGGAGTTCAACACGTGTTTGTTGCTTCAAGTGGATCATGTCTGCGAAGAGGCGCAATGATAGAGACAGAGCTTCAAGATAAAAAGCTTAAATACAGCGGATATATTTACTGTCATGTGCAATCCATTCACTGTACAATGAATATATTTGTTTTAATTCCATTCATATTTTCAAAATTCCTTACATATAAGTATTATTACCCTTACACTTACAGTATTGCATGGTACTTATTACTGATGCATGTTTTGACTCATGCTGCTGTATTATTGTACCCCCCACCCCCCTTGTGGAACTAATAAAGGGTTATCTTATCTTATGAAGTTCCCTGTGTGCACATGCATAATGTTGACAAGCACTAACAGATGGTTTTGAAGGTTTGATTGTAACTGTGTTATAAAACAGCGGTAGAGTGTTACAGTCCCGTTCTAACAAATGACTGGCCTAGTTTCCATGAAACAAGAGAATATGTCTCTTTACAGTTAACCAGCCTTTGTCCTGCTCTTTTGTTTCCCTTTGGTTTCCTATGGGGGAACTTTGTTTTTGTTTTCTGGTGCTCTCCTGTTCACATGTTATCAATGGGACAGTGATTATGACAAAAATGTGATGAGACAAGCTGTGGTCTTTGCTGGAACCTGCCTGTTGACAGAACCACTGTGGCCGCCAGGTGGCGTCAGAGCACTCTGCTGGTGTGGTTTCAGTTGCACCACACTGGACCATTACAGACAGGAGGTCTCTTTAATTCCACTTGTGGATTTCACACATGATTTGGAGATTTCCCTTTTCATCAGTAAACATGAAACACACATACCACATGGAATGACGGCACTGCAGTCAACTCCTGTTTGCCAGATCTTTTTTTATAATTACAGGTTTAGTGGATGAATCTTCACAGACCCCCACTGTGCCATGGACCCCCATCTGACAACCACAGTAGAATCAAGATAACAATGTTGACTAAATGTCATTTTGTTGTGACTGAAATACAATCGAAGCAGAACCATTGTGACACACAGAAGAGTGGGGCCTCCTTCAGTGGAGCAGAGCTGTAATTTATTGTGCGGATGTGTGGTGTGCTGGCAGTAGGCTCATTGTGCACTCACCATACATGAATCATAGAGGACAACTCGCTCTGCCATCATAAATCCACTGGCACCTTTACCAGTCCTCTCTCTCTAAATGCTCCAGGAGTGTTAGCGTGGGTCTGATAGTGTGGATCCCTGTCGATACATTACATTCACTCTCCTTCTCATCCAACAAATACAGCTCGTCACCCACACCAGCCTGTCGATATGTTCAGCCTATAAAAATACTGGTGGAAACTAAGTAAGAAAAGCAGGTACATTTAGTTATATTCATACAGACTTACAACAAATAACAGTATTTCTTGCTATACATCCATCCATCAATTTTTCCATCATCTATACCACTTATCCTCTGAGGGTCATGGGGAACCAATCCCAGCTGACATTGGGTGAGAGGTGGGTTACACCCTGGACAGATCACCAGCGTATCACAGGGCCAAAGAGACTAAAACATTCGCTCTCAAATTTCCCCCTATGGTCAATCTAAAGCCTCCAATCATCTAATCATCATGTCTTTGGACTGTGGGTGGAACCATGAGTACCCAGAGAAACCCCCCCACCCCCCACACACACACACAGGAAGAACATGCAAACACCACCCAGAGAGACCCCGGCTGATCTGGGATTCAAACCCTGAAATCAACAGTGAATCAAGAATACAAGATAGCTCTTGTCATATTTTAGATTTGACTGGTATTTTTGTATGATGAGCACCACAACTCTCCTATTCTTACTTTTCCATCTTATTTTTTTCCCCCTTTTGCTATAAAACTTTTCTTTACTCTTGGTTCTTTACAGTTTTCAGATGAGTCAGATCCACAGACCTGTTGGTGTTCCACAGGAGACATTTGACTCACCGCTGGAAGTAATAACATGAATGGCTCTGAACTGGGTCTGACAGGACAAAATGTCTGCTGTGAGAAAAGGTCACATACAGTAACTGTTTCCCTCAATGTTTTCCTGCTGAACAGTTTTAATTTAGGATACACTTTGTTTTCATTAAACTCATGCTCAGCTCATCCAGATGACAAAATTCCCCTCTCACGTACCTGTGCCAGGAGGTCAAAGGTCGAGGTAGCCTGGAGGTATCAATGAGAAAGTTCGTTGCTTGGCAGCACATTGACTTCACTGATGAAAAGACTTTCAATAACATTTAGGTTGATTTACTCCTGGAATCATTCACATTTAATGACAGTTTTTGTGTGACAGTGATGCATGGGCCATTGTGTGTATGCTCATAACAGCTGAGCACCATGTAAGATGGGCAATCATGTTTATTGTGGTTGTCTACATGCGTGAAACTTATCAGCAGAGAAAATGTCCAATCCTTGTTTTATACAATTTCAGAATCTAGTGCAGTACTCATTCATGCCTGTTTGGAATGAGCTGTACAATCTACTGTCACTTTTTATTGTTTGTGTGCTGGACATTGTGTGGAGAGCTTTTTAGAAACAGTCTATGGTGCAGAGTGAAGTGAACATTCATCCTACCTGGTTTATCTGTAATTAAGATTTTATAAACAATGTTTTTCTTAAAAAAGGAGAGGAATGTGCTTTACTACTGCTCATGTATGTGGCTCATATATAATTTTTTTGACTTGCGCTTTGACTCAATTGCAGACAAGTACTATAGTTAAGGACAAAGAGGAAGACAACATGTTCAACCACAGACTGACTCTTTACCGCCCAACCCCCACTGACTGCTAAGGAGTGCTAGTGGCCTATGTTTTTATTAATATTGTATGTACTGCACTTTCTGAAGCAATTTACAATACACATGCTGAGTGTGAAGTTGATCAGATGGTTTGTGAGAATTACTTTTTGCAATAAGACAGACAGACAAACATAAAGGCAGGTAGATGTACACATGTGACCCTGAGAATGAAACGTTAAGGTGCACGTCAGATGATTTGGCCCTGAAGGTGTCACGAGAACACCCATAGATCAAACTGAGACTTACAAATGAACAGGGTGAGGCAGAGGCCGATGAAAGAGTGACACTGAGAGAGAAAAAAGATGGAGAGAGACAGGCTGCACAGAGGAGATATAACACAGAGGTTAGTGCACTTCTAGATATACTGCATTTCATTGTGTTCTTGACCAGGAAGCATGACACAGAGAAGGGGGG